AGTTCCCTATAACGAACAGGACGACGAAAAATATACCTACCTACACACAACGCCGTTTTATGCGATCCCTACGGAGGAAAAACATCCAAATGACGTAGAACTGCAAAACGAAGACAATGACAGGAGTGGAAAGGAAGCTGTGAAGGGCAAAGACGGAAAGAGTGTCTGGATGAAGGGCTTCCACTTCTTGGTAGACCTATTAACCTCCCTCACGAGGAGGAAGCAACATCAAATGAACCCCACGAAGAAGATTTCCCCATCCCATTTTATCAATCATAGAAGAACCAACATACTAGGAGACGCCTGTGAATTCAGGGAGGAGAGCCCCAACAAGCACAGTTTTAAAGGCCTGTTCATAGGGGAACACTTGAATCACGCGAAGAACTTAGAGTTTTTGTCTCCATTGTCTTTAGCCATCGATGAAATCGATTTTAATAAAATCTTTATGCAAGCGTGGGACGTGGACTCCTACTCGAGTTACGTCTTTTTGGATAACTCACACCTGCTGGGGGTGGAGAAAAAGAAAAAAAAGGAAGGCGCAGGATCGTCAGGGGTGAATGTCGCCGTTAGGAAGGAGAAGAAGAAGGAGAAGCAGAATGAGAAGAAGAAACTCGCTTACCTCTCAGGGGAAGCCGCTGCTCCCGCTTCGAGCACAGCCAGCGGCTGGGTCGGCAGCATCAAGTCGATGGTGGACCTCTTCAACGATGCGACGGAAGACCCCCCGGGCAGGCACACCAGCCAGGGTGGACACACCGATCGAACCGATCGAGCCTCCCCGACGCAGATGAACGAAGCGCATGTAGAAAAAAAAAACAACCTAGCAGGAAAGCACGTCACACCAAGCACCATCAACAAAGTATTAAGCGGCTTAAGAATACCATCCGAAACGAGCAACTATGATGGGATGGTAAAAATAAACAGGCAGATGAATATAGGAATATGTACAAGGCAAAGTAGAGGAGGGTCCCTACTCCAATCTCCACTAAAGAAGACACTAACCAGTGGCTTCCCTTTCAGAAAACACTTTAAAACGGAGAGGAAAAAGGATAGTGACCCCCCCTTCACGTGTGCATTCTTTCGCTCCATTAACCATTCCGAGATTGTCCTTTTTTTTGAGAAAATTACATCTCCACGGGGGATCATCTCACGGGGGGGTAACAAGACAACCTCGAACGAACAAACAGGGAGGGGAACAAACTTCACCAAAGAAGTGCTAAAACGGAGAAGTAGTGAATTATACGAAAAGTGGTCCAAGAGAAACAACAACAAAGGATTCATCGACATGATTTCGACGAACCCATTAAAGAATCTAACTGTGCATGCAGATTATGAATACAAAAAAAATCTCTTCAAACTGCATTCCGATTACAATGGCATAAGTACTAGTATCATGGTGGTGAAAACATATCAGAAGAGGGCTCTCCTACATTTCCTCTTCCAAGGGGACGTGTGCTACAGTGAGCTCCACGTGGATAAGGACGTTCAGCTGCGCTATGTTAACTCGGACATAAGTCCCAGTTTGATACTGAGGGGCGCGTGGAGCTGCTGTGCGCTGGGGGGGCCGCTCCATTCTTACAAACACAGGGGCAGAGTGGATAGGGTGAATAGAGTGGGAACTCAGCGGGGGGGAGAAGTAGACGTAGTGGTAACTGACGACGCAGTAGGAGGCGACGGAGGAGATTCCTCTCCCCACGAACCCCCCCAACCGCAAACCGACAGAGGAGTAATCTACTGGCAAGAACAGATTCTGAGCGACAAAGTAGAACCCGCGCAACGGTACAAGAGACTGAAATCTTTGTATTTAAACAATCCCCGATTGGAGGAAATTAAAGAGAGGACACACTGGATGGAGAGGCATGTTCGCGAGAGTGGGGATGCCCTCTTGTTGTCCACAAAGGGATCAGTCGAGTTCAAGACGCCGGTCGTGGTTAGCGACCTATACGTGCGTCTGCACCCGAACCCCCTGTACAGGTCCGCCTGCGGGAAGGGGGGAGGTGCGCAGGCGACCGCAGCGGATCAGCGTCTCGGCGATGGGGGCAGCCATGGGGGGAGAAATAGGAGCAGAAATAGGAGCAGAAATGGGAGCAGAGACGGGAGCAGAGACGGGAGCAGAGACGGGAGCAAACACAGGCGCAACACTCCACGCAGCGGTGGGCGCGGTGGGCGCGGCGCGTTCGGCCAGGACCAGCCCCCCGTGGAGACGTGCGCACAGGGGAAGCCATACATCATGCACATGCTCTTTAATTTCTACCTTAATAGAAGCAGGAAGTACTCAGCGGTGCTGGAGATCCATGTAGACGCCATTCGTAATGGAAACCATCACAGGGGTTACGACGTCGGACAATCTCCAGGACACTCCCGCGGACTCCCCCCCGGACAGATGAACCCACTAAACGTGATGACTCTCATCAAAGGAAACATAAGTCACTACCGAATTAATAAAATAGAAATCGAGTACTCTCTTAATCCTAACCCAGTGGCACAACGAGACGCATCCATTCATGGAAGAAGCATCCCCTTCCTCGTCTCACTCTGCAATCTGACGACGAACCACAGTCAGAAGGTATATAACTACGTGCCTACATTTTTCGTGTCCAGGGGAGACTACCTCCAGGTGCTCAGTCGAATCGAGCCCAACGAGGGGGACGCGGAGAGCGGCACAGAGGAGGGCATCACCCAAGGGAGCGGCAGCAACGTGAAAGGCAACAACGTGGACGGCAACAACGTGGACGGCAGCAACGCGGACAGCACTATCAGCGCGGAGAGGAACCAGACTGTGGGGCAGCCCAACCGCTTCGTCAGCAACACCTCCTTCTCCATCTTCACCTCGCTCAGCGAACCCATTTTCTGGGCGCACATACTGCAGCTTCGGTGCGAAGTCAGCCAATGCCGGTATGATGAAGCCGCCGAACCATTCCTGGTGACCGCCTTGGGAGGACGACACGAGGGGACGACCCAAGTCAGTCAAGAGGCAGTGCCCCAGAGGCGGACCTTCCAACCCAACGCCCACATCACCCCCGCCGCCAAGGAAGAGAAGACAGAGGAAGGAGAAGACGCTGAGTTGAGCGAAATGCAGAAGGAGTATCTAGACTTCCTAGAAAAGGGGCAACCAAGTGAGCCGCAACAGCCAAGTGGCGGAGTGAGGGAGGCCGAGCAGACGAGCTACAGTGACGAGACGGACCAGGAGGCGACGCCCAATGAACCCACTGAGTCCAGCCAGTCCAATGCCGCCGACGAACCCAATGCGGCCAGCCAACCCGATGAATCCAGCCAATCCAATGCCTCCAACCAATCCAATGCTGCCAATCCGGCCAATGAACTCAGTCCGCCCCCAATTCCTCCACCGAGCAAAAAACAGACCGTGGCTTACGACATGACGAACATGCTAAACATAGAATACATCCAAAAGAGGTACATAATCCCTCCGTACCGAAAGGGGATATATATATGCCTGGAAAGTGAAAGGAAGCAATTAGTGTATGATCCCAACGATCAAACATTTTACGTGAAGAGAAGCGGAAGGAGCAATGTAGGAGGTAACGACAGTAGAGATGCTCTGCCGGCCTTATGGATTTACTCAGCTCTCCTACCAACAGAAAGTGACCTTCTGCACTTCTCCTTCCTCACGAGGAATAATCTCACCCTGAAGATGACCCAAACGAATGACACCAAAGTTTACTTCAAAAATATCATACCGTTGACTCGCTACGAAGATTATGCGAATATGGAGAGACGCTACACCGAGAAGGTCGTAAAAATCAGCTTCATCGATTTGAAGCAGAATGGGTTCACATCTCACCTTCTGGGCCTCATTATTGACAGTCAACTTTACCGGACCAAGGTCCTCGAGATTCTGAAGAAGAAGTTCAGCACAGTGGTGCAGTTCGCTTCGGAGGAGATGGGTAGTTGACCGGGGAGAGGGGGTCAGCAGGGGGGAAAAGTATACGCTGGGTAGGAGGCGGCGGTGTGAAGGGGCACCGGGAAGCACCACTCATCGTACGCACTGTCCCTACTCTTCGTAGAGGCGTACACACAAATAGACAGAGACACACACGCTGCGCTGTGGACAAACTGGCGCACGCGAATTGGGAGGAAGTAGTAATCGCCCATGAGAACTTCTCATCGGGGACTTCCCGCGTGGATATCCTCACGAATAGGTGTTCACTTGGCTGACCCTCCTTTTTTATTTTTTCGTTTTTCAGACTGGCCGTTGAGCTGGTTCAGCTGGTTCATCTGGTTCAGCTGGTTCAGCTGGTTCAGCGGCTCGTTTGGCTGTTTAACCCCTTGGCGACTTCTTGGCCGCTTAACCACCCTTGCCGTGATTGAAGTACTGCTCCCGTGTGATCACATTGTAGTTATAGATGTTCTGGTCGCTGAGCCAGACATATGTGCCAATGTAGTTGCTATAGAGACCATTCCGATGAGAGTAAATGTTGATCTCCCAGTCTGTGGGGAAAATAGCACGCAGCTCCTTGTAGAGTCTGTGTTTGAAATTCTTAAATTTGGTAGAACCACCTGAGATGTATATCTGAGCAAGGAAGTACCTCTGAATCTCCTTAGGGAGTAATGAGATGCATCTATAAATCAGCTCAACAATGCTGCAGTGCTCGAGATTTATGTCCTTCGGATTAAAAAGAACCTCTGGAATGCCAATTCGTTCATTCGTCAAGTTAATGATGTCGTTTTGGGACTCACTATTGTGTGTGCCTCCTTTTACACCAATATGGTTTGGGAAGGCCCTTTCTCGTAGATCTTCTTCGTATCTGTTCCTATCATCCTTTCCGTTGTTGCACCTCTGATCGAGCTTCTTCTTTCCCTCTTTTTCGTTACTCTCTTCTGCTTTCCCAATGTCACTACCCTCCGTGTAGTTAGAAAACTCCATCTGGTCGTCGAAATCGGAATCCACATAAATGCAATCGTTGGAGCAGTTCGTCCTCAGCGTGTCATATACTTCGCTGATCTCTCTCTTCGTAGCGTTGTTGTAATCGATTAGCTTATAACTGTAAAAGAGGTGCGGCTGCGTTCGCTTTTTCTTTTTGTCACCATGTTGGGGAGTCTCTTCTGTAGTCTCTTCCTGGGTGAAGTCCCCCACAGTGGGGTTGTTCTCCCCGTCTTTGCAATTCGAATTGACGCCCTCCAGTTTTATTTTCCCCTTCCCGTGGCCCACCCCATGGAGTACTTCTCCCCCGCTCGGGAGGCGCTTCTGACAAAAGTCCTCCGCCTCGTGGCGAACGTCGACGCGAACCTGGCCGCTAATCCTGGCCGCCTCCCCCTCCCCCTGCTTCTCCTTCCGCAGCAGCTCCTCCCGCGCGCCCAGCTTATCCGCAATCCGCTGTCGCTTAATCTCCTCCAGCCGCCTCTTCTCTTTCTCTAAATCCTGTTCGTAGTCCAGCGACACGTAGCAGGCCCGCTCTTTTATGTTCTCCACGAGGAGCTCATTGTGTTCCAGATTGACGTGTTTATACGAGAGGACATTCTTCAAATAAGTATTCAGGATCGACGCAGAGACCTTCGTCCTTAAGATGGCGTATTCAATCACCTTATACTCTATGTACGGCAACACATACGTGTGAGAGAACCCTACATCAACGTACAAAGCGCAGGGATTTCTGAGAGATAAATTGTAATTCCCGTTGATTACTTCACTGTAGAAGGTGTCCACATAGGTGGTGTTAAAATGGTTTTGGAAGGTATGGAGGTCCCTAACGTTTGGTTCGTAGTATGTGTGATGGAGATCTATCTGATCGGGAAGTAAAAAATTTGGGTCCTGGACGGCGAAGTTGTTTCCTAGGTAGCTGTTACTCTGAAGGGTGCGTACCACTCCATTGTTGGGGAAGCAACCAGCGCGACAGTTGAAGAAGCGACCAAAGTGGTACTCTTGCCAGTTCTCCCCTCGGAAGCCCTCCTCGAGGTACACTCGGTAGGTATACTTATTGTAGCATTCGATGTTTTTTACGAAGATGTGTCTGTTGGTTAGTGTGTTGTTTTCCGCGGGGTGGTCCTCCTGCCCAAGTCCATCGTTCGGCTGAGAAGTATTGCTACATGTGTCGTGCGGGATGGTGCTTCCGAAACCGCTCCCCATGCTGCTTCCCAATCCGCTTCCCAACCCGTTCGTCAAGCCATTCCGCTCTTTCTTCACCTCACTGAAGATGTCGCTGCTGTTGGACATTCCTAGTCCTACTCCTCCCGCTACTCCTCCTGCTATCGCTGCCTCTTCCTCCTCCCACCCGTCCAGGAACTCAGCGGAGGTCCACTTATCCGCCTCGCCCTTCAAATCGGCATGATCATTAGGATAACTTGCCTCCCCCTCCCCTTTTATGTTCTCCTTCGTACTGCTGCTTCTCCTGGTGATGGATTTACTTCCTCCTCCTCTCCTCCTCCTCTTGGATGCTTCCCCCCTCCTGCCCCTCGAACTGGGCAAGGAAAAAATAGGAGGATTTAAGATATCATACTGTCCCAAGTTAAGTCCAATGAAAGAAAATGGGAGCATCGTTTGAGAGGAGACAATAATAATCTGATTAAAATTAAAGTACTCAAAAAGCAGCTCGATAACTCCCTGTCTTATGTAGGCTGGGGTGAGATAAGACTCCGTGATGCAGATCCCCATGTCGTTTATTTTAAAGCCAATAGTCTGCTTGCATGAGAAGAGCTTTTCCCAGATCTTCGTTTGCATCTCCAAATCTAGTAGCAGGCCATCCACATGGGGCCGGTGACAGAAGTACTCGCATATGCTATAGCAGCTGTCACTTATATGAATGATATTTTTCTTTCTCACCTGTCCGACACAATTGGGCACGATAAACTTGGGTTCTATTTCGTTACACTGGGAGTCACTCATCTGGGAGTACCTCGGCAGGATGCCTCCCTTGATCAGCCCCCCTCCGTTGTCTAGTATCAGCTTCGGAACGTCGATGTTGACTGGCGCCCCCATGGTTTCTGCTCTGTGTGGAGTGAACAGATTGGGTGTCCCTCCCTGGGCAGCTTAGGTCGGTCGTGAGGGAAAAACCAACGACTGGGTTACTCCCTCGGCACAAAAAAAAAAAAAAAAAAAGAAAGAAAAAAGGACGTTTGGCTAGCTCGCCAAGCGCCTAGCTACCGGTTGACACTCCCTCCCTTGCTGCCACACGTCCGCACGGATGACTCAACGGCCAAATTTGGGACTCCCCCATCAGGCCTCTCCCAAATGGTCTGTCCGATCTTGACCTTCTTATGTAGCAGTTAACCAAACTCGCAGCTTCCTCGCGGGGCAACTTCCTCGCGGCGTAAAAGTAGAGGGAGGATTAAGTCGGGGCCCCCATTCGGGTCATCCCATACACATGCACGAGGAACCACATTAGGCAGGCGTCTCTCCGCGGCGAGCCGCTGGGCCTATATCTTTATAGTCGCCTCAAGTTGGAGGTACTAATTCCTTGGCCCTCCGCTGACCATGAAAGATGCGTCACTGCGGATGGGAAGCGGTTGCGAGGGGAAGCGGCTGTAAGGAGAACCCGTTGTAAGGAGAACCCCTTGGGAGAGGACGCTGCGCAAACAACTATCCTGTTGCGGACGCCCCCCCCAAAAAAAAATATCACTCAAGGAAACGTGATGGAAGTTACAACAAAATTGTAATTTTTTTTTCTTTTTTTTTTTTCTTTTTTTTTTGCTTGAAGAGACCACATTATGTCACAGTTGTACCTTCGCATGGAGGTGCCTCCACTTTGTCAGAATCGGTTAAGAGGGGAAGTATTTTTTTTTCCGACTCTTTGGGCCGTTTGTCCCTTTTTTCGCCTCTCTGCGCCTCTCTCCGCGGGGCACCTCCGATGCCAAGGGAGAAAAACATCCACATAGGTAAAGCCTACCCGTGCATACTTTCACGTGAACGAGTGGGAAAAATCTCCCTGCGCACACCCACGCCTCGCCGTCCTAGTGAAACAGCCCCTCCTCTCTTCTTCTAATACGTAGGAAGAAGATCGCTTCCTCTCCCCACCAGGAACGAATCACTAGTCTGCTACTACGTCACCCCAAGGGGGCGAAGCAAAAACAGGTGTAGGTCTTCCCTGATGATACGCAGGGCCAAGAAAAAGGTTAACTCGTGTAAAGAAAGCTCCGTATGCATGTATTGCCTCAGTCAAGAGGCAATGCTCCCTCCAAGCGGCATTGCTTCCCCTTCGTGTGCTCCCCACCCCCCGTTTTTAAAATATCAGTTGTACCTCTTCATACGCGTCTGTGTAACCTCCTCGTGGCGTGTGTCCGCTTGGGGGGGGAGGTGTCCACAGATTTTGCGACACCCTATGAGAGAAGCAAAAAAGGGAAAGAAGCGGGGAGTGCTACTAGACTACATATTTTCCTTCACCGTGGTAGCTGAAAACTGCGAATGGTACCCGCGGCGCAGAGCTTGATCCACCCCCAGTGCAGCAGTGTAAGCACATGTCGCACCCACGTAGAACTTGGGATAATCGCGACAAAGGAATGGGCTTGACCTTGAGACAACATGTACATTCGTGCAAAACGTACAGTCGTGACGAAGTCACCTTTGATATTCTCCCATTCGGGAGGCAACCGCTTCTCCGGTGCATCTACGTTAGAAAATGAATGTAGCAAAAGGGGAAGCAAAAAAAAAAATTAGAGGTGCTACCTCGTAAGGGAAATATATAAATGTGCGGAACAGTAGAAAAAAAAAAAAAAAAAAAAAAAAATTGAAAAGACCAACGCGCCAGTCCAGTCATCAAAAGGGGGATAGCGAAAAAAATAGATAAAATAAAATAAAAAAAAATAAAATGAACAACGCGCAGCCTAACTCTGCAGCGTTCTGGTGCCCCTCCGTGGATTCCCCCAACTTAGACACTTTTCTTTTTCTCCTTTTCGGAAAAGCTTCCCTCGCGGGTAACGTTTGGGTGATGCTGTTCGCCACCTCCGCCTGGTCATATTGCAAGCTGGACGTTTGGGCGAGCAGTGGCGGGGCAATCAGGCTTGGCCACCCAAAAAAGGACTCACCCAAATTGGACACCTCCCAACTTAACCCTTTCACGAACTTAATCCCTTCACGCGTCGACGACGTCCAGGAGCAACGTCTTGACCTCCTGCTCATTTGCACCGGACCCTTCATTTTCAGCCGCGGGCTTTTCTTTTAGGGGCCTCTTCATGTTTTGCTTCTCCCGGATCTTCTCCTCAATCAGCAACTTGAGTTGTCTCTGCGGGGGGTGGAGGCGGTATGGAAGCCGTTTAGAAGCCGTGTAGACATCGTGTTGACATGGCGTTCGCGTTCGTGCCTCCCCATTTCACCTGGACAATGTCGGAGACGAGCAACTGCTGCACTGTGGCTCGGTAGTTGGGCTCCCTGATCAGCATGCTCTTGTAGATATTGTTCAGCTCTTTGGAGTATATATTCGGCAGGTCTGGGATCTGTCACAAGGGGGGTGCATCAGAGGGGCGGTGGCGAAGAAAGAAGTGGCTGGTAATGCTCTCCTACGCGACAGAAACGAACGGGTCAAGCGGGAAAAGCAGGGCACACGGAGCAACCAGGCCAAACGGAGCAACCGGGCCAAACGCGCTCCGTGCAGTGGGGATCCCCCTCGAAGCACCTACAGGGGCATATCTAATGTTGTAGCAGAGTTGCTGAATCCCCTTGGTGGAGTGGAAAGGAGTGCGGAAGGTGGCCAACTCATAAATGAGGCAACCTGTGGCCCAGACATCAGACGGCCAGCTGTATTTTTTATCTTTACACAGCTCTGGGCTTAAGTAGTAGGGCGTCCCTATCAGGGTGTTGGCGTAGTCCAGGGTATTTTCCAGCACCTTCGAAATGCCGAAATCGCATAGCCGCACTCGCTTGTCGTTGTCGATTAGGATGTTCAGCGATTTCATGTCTGTCACGAGGGGGGGAGTGGCCATGCCGGGGTGAACGTAAACTGTTGTGGGCGTGCAGAAGTGAACTATTCTTGCCGCGCCGTAGTGTACTGTTCTTGCCACGCCGGAGTGTACTCTTGTGGGCACCTTACCCCTGTGCAGGATGTGGTTCGAGTGCAGAAACTTGAGCGCCGTCAGAATCTGAGTCAGCCATATCAGGATGCGCGTCTCCTTTATGGGCGTGTTTTGCTTCTTCTTGTTCTGTATGTAATGGTAGAGGTCTCCGCCTTAGGTGGGTGGGTGCCGCCAGAAGGATAGGAAAAAAAAAAAAAAAGAAACAGGGAGAGAGGGAAAGGGAAAGCCAAAGAGAGAGATAGCGAGAGAGAGAAAGCCAAATAGAGAGCGAAAGAGAGCCATCTTCACAGCTCTCATGAACCCTAATTGTATTCCCCCCAGTGCTCCACTGGACTCACCTTTGCAGTGCTTCATGACGATCCTCAGCGTGTCCCCCTCTATGTAGCTTTCGATATACTTGACGATGAAGGGGTGGTTCAGCTTGGACAGCAGCTGCGGAGGGGGCGTAAAACATACACGTGTGGATAGATATGTCTGAGACTGACGGGGGCAGACACGTGCACACATGGGCACATGGACACATCCACACAGAGACGTTTTTACGTCGGCCCATTCTCAACTCCTGCTTTGCTTCTCTCTCTCCGCGACGCTACCTCCACCTCCTTCAGGCACTGCCTCTTCTCCTTTGGGCTCATCTGAGATATGTTAATTATTTTCATCACGTAGCTTAGGGGGAGGTAAGGGGCGACCGTGGCGGTGAGCAGAAAATGGCAGACGATGGGAGAAGAGTGTAGAACACTGCAGAAGACAGCAAACTTGCGCAGTGGGCGGTTCAGTGGCAGGCGCGGCTGCTACGCATGGCGGCCGTCTTCACGTCTGGTCCCGCCCATCCGCATGACACTTACTGGTCATTCTTCTTATCTCGCACAAGAATCGTATTCCCGTAATTCCCTTTCCCTATGTCCCTGATCTTCTCATAGTTGTTCATTTTTGGGGGTCGGAGAGTTCGTTCCTTCTAGGGGGAGAGAGGGCTCAACAACTATGTGTGTTGTCCTTTTTTGGGATTACTTTTTTTTTTTTTTTTTTTGCTACGCCTCTCCGTCGACTTTCTCTGTTTTTCGAAACGAGGACGGACGTGCTGAACTAAGCTGCTATTTCGTTGTGGGCACCGGGGAGGACTACGAACCAATGGTGGGGGGAAGGAGCAGTTTAGTGGAAAAGCGAAGTAAACGAACAGGCGTTAATGTTTAGGTGGAGGTAAGGTTCTTTCCTCCTTGGAAGGCACACGTACGCGTGTGTGCGCCAAACGGAAAAAAAGGTCCCGTGTTCCTATAGAAGACGCTTTGTTAATCTGCGCACTTGACCTGTCCTTATGTTGCCATTCGGCTGGGGGTGAATTTCCTTCCTTCTCTTAGTTGCCCGTTTGGCTACTCGCTTGGTTGCTTCCTCTTTTGTTCCTTATGCTCCGTTGCGTCGTTTCGGCTTGGGGGCCGCATCCTTGCGCCGCGTTGTCGCGCCATTTTGCGACTACGTGTGTGCGCAGAGCGGGGGATGCATATACGCGTGGCATAGACGTGGCGTACACGTGACGTACACGTGGCGTGCACATGGTATACACATGGGGTTTTTTTTTTTTTTTTTTTTTTCCTGCCAGACCAACCGACCTGAGGACCCTATAGAACAGGTGTACGTACTAATGGGAACCCCTTTCCATTTTTTGACCTTTTTTTTTTTTTTATTTTCCCGCGCTGTGGTGTTTCGCTAGTCGCGATGCGGTTCTGTGTGGTGCAGCTCCTTTGACTTGCCTCGCCACCGTTGAACTTGGCACCTTTTGTGTTCCCATGTTTTGTTGCCCTTCCCCTCGCCCGTGCATATTGGCCGCACGACACCCCCCAACGACGCGATTAAAACGGCGCTGCACCTCTTGACAGTGTAACTCAGTCATCTCATTTTTGCTTCCTTTTCTTTGGGGGGACTTCACAGATCAGCACTTGGTAAAAAATTACTCCTATCTTCGGTTTGGCGTGGCCTCACAGGGTAGCATAGGATGTATATAAAATGCATGCATATATATAGGTATATATATATATTTTTTTTTTTTCTTCTTCCTCTTCACTGGCGATTGCGCCTCTGCCAGTTTCTCACCTCGAAAGAGAAACCTCGTGTCACAGTTCAGCCTGTTATCACATTAGGCTCGTTGCACTCTCGCCTCACCTCTTGCGAAGGAACCGAATGCAGATGAGTCCAGCAGCAAGTGCCTGCCTCGCCTAACAAGATGAGCCGAAATGTGTTTGGGAAGCTGACTGGGGGGTAAGAAAAGAAGAGATGGAGAACCGGAGAGATGGAGAACAGGAGAAAAGGAGAAATTTGGAAACGGATAAATGCGAAAATGAAGAAATGTAGCACAGGACAAACGTGACCCGATGTGCCATTCGCCTGGGCGCGAGTTTCCCCCCCGTTGGGAGCCAACCCACAACTCATTTGTTGCCACCTTCCCTCCACTGCAGGATCGGCCCTCACCTGTGGCACAGAAATGCCCTCGTCATGAACACGTACAAGGCCTACTCATCGGTAAGGCAAATAGACCCCCTAAAGTGGAGGATGGACACGCCACAGAGTTGCGAAGTAGCGAAGTAGCGAAGAAGCGAAGCAGCTGTGTGGAGTTCGCGTACTCCCCTTTGTATGTCTTCCTCACCCACAGGCGCACCTCTTCCCTTTTTTTTTCCTTTCAGGCCATGGGTTGTCTCATCCAAAGGTACGGAACGACCAAACCGGTGAGCAGATCCATCGGGAGCGACAAAAAGGAGGTGTACAAATACTACAACGAAAGGTTACGGGAAGACATCGGCCCCCTCAAACTGATGAGAAGTTTGCCTGCCCTAAATCACTACGTCAACCCCGTCGACATGACAAAATTTACCATCAAATACATTTTGAGTTATCGCTTTTTCTTCATCTACATGGCCCGGACGACGTTTCAGGTAGGCCCCGCGCGAGAACGTGTGCGGGACTAATTCACGATCGTGCCTTTTTTTTGTATTTTTTCTCATTTTTTTCCACTTGCCTGAACGGTTCAGGGAAAATGTAGACCACTCGATAACCAATTCTGCGTTCCCCATTTTTTCCTCCCCCCCCCCTTTTAGGCTGTCCGGCCGCTGATGGCCTTCTGCGTCTTTGGCGAGTTGATGAAGCTCATACTGGCCACCATGACAAGTGGCGTGTTCGCCTTCTTCTTTTCCTTCGTCCTCGCGTTCGAAGTTCTGTACTTCTTCCTGCAGTGCTACATATCCTACACCTTCTTGACCATGTTTTTTGACGTCATATTTTGACGGGCGGGCTGCCGCTCCCTTTGGCCACGAAGCCATTTGGCCACGTATCCATTTGGCCTCATGTCAACTTAGTCGTCTGGCCCCCCAACCACGTAACCGTAACCACTCATCCGTCTAACCGCCCAACGTTAACCTTTTGAAGTTTCTTTTTTTTTTTTTTCAAAGGAGTCTGTGTACGCTCCCTTTTTCCCGAAGTGGTGCCCCCCCAATTGGCTATTCAATTGGGTACCTGTTTGAATTGAAACGGAAAAGTGGGGGAGAGACGAAGGGGTTGTGCACTCAGCTGCATAGCAGAGTACCACCGCTCACCGGGTGTCTCTCACCAAGGGCGCGGTCTGAGTCGGTGAGTCCGTCCCCAACAGAGGCGTTTCCCAACATGTCTCCCCCGCGACTTAAAAATTAAAAAAAAATTATGAAGTGGCAAAGCGATCAAGTGGTGACGTGACGACGTGATAATAAAATTGGCGTGTGAACGGGTCGACGCCGCTTTCTTCTCCGCGAGGGGGGAAACCACCTTTGTGGCACCACACATGCAAAAGTAGCGACCGCGACCTGGCAACAACTTTTGCGGAGACACACTCATACATCATGTACATGCACACACAAGACGATTTCTACAGGTAAATGCCTCCACCCCCGAGTGTTCCAGGCGGGGGCGTCGAATTGTTCTTCTCCTCTGTTTCTTCGGCGAACAGAGGTGGAACCTCACTGCAGACCTCGCCATTCGCATCACTCGCCATTAACTCATCGTTCTCATCCGAATGAGTGATGTAATCATCGCCCATCTGAGCGGCCAGTATATGAGCAATTCCCACGCCCCGGTTTCCCTCCTTTGGGCACATCAGTGAGGTATCTATCATATTTGTTTTACCCACAAAATCAGGACCATGGGGATTTAGGATCTGTATCTTGTCCTGAATTATGCGCAGCCGTTCCTCCTTCCGACATAACGAAAATCGGTTCTCATTCAGTGCCATGAGGAGATCCTGGTCGGCACCTTCCGGATCAAACTCTTTAATTTCATCGTTCGATCGTCTCAAATGGTAAATAGAATTCTGTATCTCTTGCTCCAAATCTTTTAGGATGTTCACATCATCTGGTAGTTTCACTTCGTTAAAGTCCAGGTGGAATTGGCAGCTCGTGTGTTTCGTTTTCAGCCTTATGTCGACCATTTTGGGGAGGTGGTGATGGGGTGGACACCGCAGGTTTCGGAGGAGAGTTAGTCGCGCCCACACGACTGGCAACGACTGCTACAGGCTCACACCGATAGCAACGAAATGCTACAGTCTCACACCGCTTCCACTTGCATGCGCCTCCTCCAAGCAGTTCCGCCGGCGGGTTTCCAAAATGAAAAAGTAAAAAATGCACCTATATGCTACAAAATGTACATAATGGTTACATTACAGAGAACGGTTCCTGCGGCGGGACGGGGCGAAAAGGGTGGAAGAAGGGGCTACTCTTTGAGCAAGGGCCAAAGATCAGCCTATTCTCATCAAGTCATGGAAAAAGGCTAGCTAGCGAGGCAACTGCGGAGTGAGCAGTTTTTCCTCTTTGTGTTAAGATTTCACCCCGTACTGATTATGGTTAAACAAATTGGTGCTACTAGGCGAGGTTGCAAAGGATTTTTTTTTTTTTTTATGGGAAGAAAAATGGCAAAATATTTTTGCTTTTTTCTTTTTTTTGGAGTGCACTTGGAAAAAAAAAAAAAAAGACCTATAGAGGAGGGGGCGAATTAAATACTGGCTTCTTTATTTTCTTTTCTTTTTGTGCTAATCGAATTATACGAATTGGTCGGGTGAAACTGGCCCCAAAAAATATATAGCCCAAAGGAAGCAAAACAAAACGGGGGAATCAGAGAAAGGGGAAGAACTGGAGGCTTTGGCCATTTTGTCCTCCCCATCCCCAACACTCTCCTCTTTACTTGCGCTTCTTTTTTAAAGAGGCAATCTTTCCATGCTCAGGTGGCAAGTAAAACTTTTCGAAGGCGATGTCAACACACCTCTCCTTCCCACTTCGATGGTGTTTTAATACGTCTTTATCAAAAAAGAAAAAAAAAAGAGAGTAAAATGAAAGCAGGTGTGAATAGCCGCTAAACAAATCAGTGTCCTCGTGAAAAACGTCTATTCCACGCCTCTTACACACTCTCGTAGGGCGCATCAGCGACGGGACAACTGCTTTCTGCGTGGTACCCCTGCGGGAATCCCCTCCCCTCTGTCCATTTTTTCGCGGCGTGGATATTTTACGGTTTTCCCACGTCTCAGCTTTCGCAATTCCTACCCCCAGGGGCCAATAAACGTTGCGCATTTAAGAAGCTGCAAAAGGGACAAGGAGGAGAAAGGGGAATTCCGTCCCAAAGCTAAAATGCACCAATTTATTCGCACCTTCCGCACGAACAGGGGAAAAATCCAAAAAAGGGAAGAAAAAAAGGGAAGTAAAAAGAGGAAGCAAAAAAAGGAAGCATAACGGACCAAGCAACCAATAAATCATCCAATCAATAAGTCATCCAATCAAGAATGCATGCAGGCGGGCACCACATCATGTGCCAAATTTTAAATCATTCCGCCGCGCCAGGGGGCACAACCTCGGAATAGGCTGCAAAAGGAGGGGCGTAGATGAATGACGGAGCAGCGCAGCAGGATAACGGAGCGGCGCAGCAGGATAACGGAGCAGCGTAGCTGGATGACGGAGCGGCGTAGCTGGATGACGGAGCGACACACGACCCAATCCGTGCACACCAATCCGTGCACACCAATCCGTATACACCAACTCCTTACACGCGCATACCACAGGATTGCGGCCAGCCTACTCGTCACTTTTAAACATAGACTCGTCGACTGTGGTGCTGCTGGGGGCCACGTTCTTGCCAACCTCCTGCCCCTGCAGATACACCTCGTCCACCCAGTTCTTGTAATCCGATGCGGTCATTAACTCCAAGTTGTGTCCCTCCTCTACTATCTCGACTCGACAGTTTTGCTTATTGACCGACTCGACAAGTTCTAAAGTCTTCGTTAGGTTCCTTTTCGTGTCCTTCGTGGAGTGAACAAATATGATGTATGGGTAGTCGCTTATGTTTATGCTCTTCCTTATCTTTGAGGAGAAGATGTTTTCTTGAACGGGGGACACTAACACCTGAGAGGGGGGGAGAAACACCAGAATGAGTGGACGGACGAGTTGCCAAGAGTGCGGGAAAATTCGATCGGAGGATACATTTGTCCATCGTTAATTTTGGAATCTCGTTCGAATAAAAGGGGGACATCTCATCAGGCGGAGCTGCCATGCGGTGATAGGGCGAATCGGCGGTCACTCTCCGCTTAATATGTTGCCGCATCGGCGCTTTCCCCCTCTGTGTTACCATCGGAACGCGCGCGCCAGACAGGTGCATGGCCAAAATGCACCCGAACTGATACCCCACAATGACATTCGGCTTCAGCGTGTCGAAGAGCTTGTTGGCCTTCCCCAAACAACGACGATACAAAATCTCGTAAATAATCGTTGTGGCAATAAAAAAAACACTCATTGTAACGAAGAAGCATGGCAGAATTAGCAGGTATATATCTTTGATGGTTGAAAATAGCAAGTTAAATATGAGGAAAATACAACACAAGCACAAGATGTATATGACGACTAGGATTATAATATCCACAACTCTTGACTTGTCCTTAGAAGAAATTACGTTATCCTTCCCGTAATTCCCTTCCAACAGTTTTCTAATTTTCTTCGTTTTCGAATCTTCGTAAATGTGAAGATACAGGATCTTTATTGGTTCTTCCATGGTGTCATGTGGGTGTGCAAAAAGTTGGGCCAATTATGTGCAGGTTGTATGCGGCCCTATAAACACGCGTGGGGTATCTTTCTGCTTGATTGTGTATACCACACTTGTTGGCATTATTTTACGCGTTTTTTTTATGCTCTTTTTATCCACTTTTTTTATCCTCTTTCTTTTTTCTTAAATAGCGCTCATTTTATACTCTACTCAAAATAAGGACAAAAATGCAGCGAAATGTTCGGAAGCTTCCACAATATATGACGTGCAACCAAATTGGACAAATTAACTTTTCCCTGGTGTTGCATTATTTATGTGAACAAGCCAAAAAAGAGGGAGGTGAAAAAAAAAAAAAGTCACCTAAAAATTTCTAAATTAAACAGCCATTATGGGAAAATAAAAAAAAAAAAAAAATTCAGGAAAAAAATTCTGAATTAAACAGCCATTATAGGAAAAAAAAAAAGTCAGGTAAAAATTTCGAGATGCTCTTAATTTTCCACATAAGGGAAAACAAAAGAGCCAGTCTGGATATCACCCCATTTAAGCTTCCTTCGCATTTACAACGTCGCTGCGGTAATCTCCAAAGATTCGTATGTTTGCAGAGGTACTGCTTTGGGAAGCGAAACAGAGCAGGGGAGGCGAGTCAGGCCAACGCAGAACGAATCGGATGAAGCAGGACGAAGCAGGATGAAGCAGGACGAAGCAGGACGAAGCAGAACGAAGCAGGACGGTGTGCGAAACAAAGAGCTACAAAACGGCGAAAAATAAAACATCAAATCTTAAAAATTTTCCAAGCGAACAGATACTGAAACTTCTTTTCCTTTTCTGTCATGTAAAAAGCGTCAGCATTTATTCCTTCACATGCCACAAAAAAAAGGACGAGCAACTAAATAGACAATTCAACTTTTTTCTTTTTGTTTTATTCCCTTCAGTTGCGCTTTTTTCACTGAATTGTGCATTTTAAGGAATTTTATTTTTTCCCCCCTTTGCATGCACAAAGAGGGGACACGAAGGTAAGAAGAAAACTCGCAAAAAGAAAACATCCTGGTTATCATTTTAAAACATGTCACATTCCATTGGAAGCAACCTTCTAAAGAAAAAGCTGAGTGACATATTTCATTGGCGAAGTAGGGAAATTCTTATTTGTTCTTTTCCCTGGGTTAAACTTTCCACGTTGTACACATTTCTCCGTTAACATCATCCCATGCTCAAATTTTACAACTCGCACAACTGCGTTGAGCTTATTTCCCACCTGAACTCTTATGGGAAGGAACCGCTCCTACATTTGGAAAATGGCCGAAAGGTTAATGGAAGGCTCACTCAGAGCCCTTTCAGGAGCTACGCAAAGACGTCGACTACTTTTCCGTTCGGCAGAGTAAACGCATAGCGAAAAATTACACTCATTCACGATTCGCCTTAAAGACAATGCATGAAGTACTTTTTCCTCATCGTTTAAGCACTTAAGGGGAAAAAATAATATTAAGGCACACTCTTATGTGTGCATAGCTGTACGTCCACGTGGGCGTAAAAATCCCCTCCCGCCAAAAAAGGCCATCTATTCGGAATTTCTTCCCGAAAGGTACGTGGAGGGGCCTCGTACCACTGGCAGCTGATCAGAAACGTCGACAACGTCGATAACTTGGCCAACTTGGTCGACTTGGACAACTACAGCACCGCTTGGAACTATGAAAAATTCGCACATGTACTGTATGCACACACACTTCTTCACGCGTGACACAGCGAAAATTCCGGGCTGGCTTACCCCCCTTTTGCCAATCCGTTTAACGTTCTCCTGGTGGACGCTACGTTCACCCCTTAAAACGGTTTAACCAAACGTGTTGTTGCAGTTGGGAAATGAATGATTCCTCCTCCTTCCCCCCGTATGAACGTGGAATAAGGAAAAAAGAAAGCGTTTTAAAGTATGCATGGACACTCTTCACAAAAGAGAGTAACCAAAAAGGAAACAACGATCAAAACAACGAGCAAAACAACGAGCAAAACAACGAGCAAAACAACGAGCAAAACAACGAACAAAACAACGTCATGAATTGTCCAGGTTAGAAAAAAAAAATGCCCGCGAGTTTTACAACTAGCCAAAAGTATTCTCCACATTCGATAATTCTCAATTTTTACCTGAACAAAAAAAACAAAAAAAATGAGAACAGGTAGCCACGTTTAACAGTATATATTTAAAAAAAAAAAAAAAAGAGAGAGACAGGCAGACAGATAGACAACGGAAAATTACACTCTCCTGGTTGATAAAACACCAACTCCTGTTCCTCTTGTCCCATTTTACCTTCCTTAAACTTACAACATTTTGATATGCGTAAAAATCTGACAAATGCTGCAGTTCATGACGAAATGGCTCATACTTAGCAGGAGGATGTCTTCCCTTTGCACATGTTTTATTTCCGACCTTTGCTCATTTCTTTTTTTTTTTTAATTACTGCACACATTTCACTTCAAAAAGGTTTTAATTTCGAAAGGGGATTAAATTGGACATACACAACACGACTATTTTGTCCCCACGTTCATCCTTCTTGCCACGTGCCAGCTGCTCCGGCGAAGCGAGGACCCCATCATACACGGAACACATCCACCACCACACTGTGTACAGAATGAACGAAAATATAAAGATACTGTACATTCATGGGTAAGAAAATGCAACACCCCTTCAGCGCAGTGAATGTGCATCCACATACGAGCGGACGCCCATTGGTCGGCACTCCCCGCAGCCGCATACATTCCTTTACCACGACCCAGCATTTACTAACGATTCACCTTTTACCTACGACCTCCACACACACACACTTTCCTGACAGATTTCACGTGTTTGGCGAAAGCCGGAAGAAGAAACTGATCGAAAAGGCCGTGGGAAAAAAGAACTTGATGGTGGCCAGCATAAATCAGAAGCGCAGCATGAGCTCCTTCATTCTGTTCCTTCTCTTCATTTTGTGTGTCATGCTGTTTAATATTTATGTGTCCTACCAGTTTTCCGATTTTCTGTTTTTTTCCATAACTGTGGCCTTGTCGGTGAGTGGGCGAAACGGTGTCGTTTGTGTGTGTAGAGGGGCACATGCACCTATGTGTGAGCAAAGAACCCTTGAGGCGGGCGAACCTGGAAAGAAATCTGCAAAAGGGAAGCCTCTCCTCCCTTCTCTGCTTCTCATCTCACTTATCGAAACCATTTACTCTCCATCTGCAGATCGTCATTGTCGTAGTGATATATTTCATCGGGTCTCATTTAATTCTTTACTACATAATGAAAAAGTCGATTAAGCAAGCGGAGCAGAAGGTGCAGATGTACAACCCCGATGTGATTGTTGGGGTTTACTTCGGGGCAGTGGTAGCCATGAATCTGAGCTACAAGAATGGGAAGAAGCCTCTCGTAAGGGCAACTAAACTGGGGCGAAAAATACGCCACCCCAATTCATCTCTTCTGTGTGTAGAGGCCATGGCGCGTTTTTTTTTTTAAGCATAGCCACGGCTTCTCCGCTACGATTGTTACGGCTACTACCATTGCTACCATTGCGGGTGTGCCTTCCTACGTGGCTTCTCACTTCTGCCAACCCATTGTAACCCCACCCCCTCCTCCCCACAGGTTCTTGTGTCCCCTTCTGTGAAGACATTCCAGAAATTCACGCATAACTTAGAAAACGACTTGTCCTCATTCCCATACGTAATAATTGTGCATGGGTCTAGGGATACCACCACCCCCATCAGTGTTTTTGAAAAGCTCATTTCGTCCATGCCCTTGGGCAAGGGAAGACTGGAGGTGGTAGAGGATGACCATTCCTACTCAAAGATCAAGGAGTCCGATTTTAAGTACGTGAAATGGGGAGGTCATAGAAGTCGTACAAGTGTGGTCGCCTCGCCCTTCTAGGAAGACCCAAGAATGATGTTGTTCAGATGGGCAGTAGTGGCGAATGTTCCTTCCTCATTTTTTCGCTGCACTATTTATTTGTCCCATTTGGTGTGCTTTGTTTTTTCCCTTTCCCTCCGTCTGCCCCTCTTTCCATGCGCCTCTTCCTTCCCTTTTCAGGGCCTGGATCAAAGAAGCCAAGTACAAACCGTCCACAAGCATAGTCCACGTCGCGAAGAAATTGAAAGACGAGCAGATTGGGCAGAAAATACGGATAGACACGGAAACCCTCAGCGAGGCTTCTTCCTTCGAAAATGACAACGCTGGGGAGGCCGACCCCTTGGTGTGATGAGGTCGTCGCACACACGGAAAGTGATACACAGATGGTCCATATGTTGATGCATCCATGTGGATATATCTACGTGTGTCTGCGTGTGTCTGCGTGTGTGTTTGTGCGCGCTATGCACGACTAGCCATTCAGGTCCTACTCCTGTGACGTTAATGTGTACACAGTTTGGACCTCCTTTCAAACGGGGACACCAATCGGAAAAAAGTTATATGTTCTTTCCGAAATGGGGAAAGAAAAGGCGTCGTCCAATTTGAAGTTTATCCTCCTCCTCACTACCACCTTGAGCATGCAAGATGAGATGCCACTTTTATTTCCCCCCTCCTGCCTCCCTTTTTTTTTTTTTTTTTAACTTCACCAGAAATGTGTTCTTTGTGAACTGAGTAGGCACAATACCTTGTAACGGCATCCGTTGGTGCCTCTTCCTGTGCAAGTGCATGTTGTGCCCCTCTTGAGCTCCGTTGCCCTTTTAACATGCTTCGGCTTGGGCTCTGATTTGCCCCTAGCCTAGTCCATGCGCTACGGGCGGTGCATGGGAAAAAGTAAAAAAAAGGTGGGGAAGAAAAAGGACGCAAGGGAAGGACAGCAAAAGGGAGGAAGGAAAATGTTCCCCTCAAAGCTTTCCACATTTTCCCCCCTACAAAAACATCACGCCCTTTTAGCGTTTCGCAACAATGTGATTCACCCACAAATGTGATTCAGTCGCCTCACTTGAAATGCGCTTTTACTTTGCTTCCCTTTTAAATTGCGTGTGCGCTGCATATTTTGCTGTTGCTACGCTTTGACCTATATTATGCCTGGATTACACAGAAATTTCCCCAATTTGTTTTTTCAACCGACTTTCCACTTTGTGTATGAAAAACGGGGAATTTCCTCTTTCCAGTTTTAGGAGACAAGCCGGCTAAGCTGCGCAGTTGGCTCAGTTGGTCAAATTGGTGCAGTTGGCGCAATTCGCTTTGTTCGGCGAGTCCACCGCGGTAACTGCTGCGTAGATCATCGCAACGTTGAAACTGGCTCGACTGTTTGAACTGTTCCCACCGCTCAAACGGTCCTTTTAGAGGACTACCCAGATGTGCCCTCCTGCGCGTAGGTGGCAAACCTTCCCGGGGGAGTATTTTCACGTCGTTTTGTGAGCCAATTTTGGGAGCCCATTTTGCGAATTCATGTGAATGTCCACCTGGCAAGCAATGAACGATGCCTCTCATTTCTGCCAACTTGGATAGGGGAAGAGCTTTCCGTAAGAGGTGAAATTTGGCACCTCCTCGTACAGACGTAGCCCCCTCGCACAAACGTAGCCTCCTCCGTATGGAAAATCTGCTCACCTTGTGCGGAAAATGTTTCACCATTTGAGGAGGAAAAAATGCATTACATAAACTACCTATCGAGGTGCGCCCGGGGGAAGTTCCCGCCTGGGGTTATCCCCTACCGGAACCTCGGGCCCAAGCTAAGAGGCGGAACTATGCTGCAGAGTTTCAGAAGACTCTACAGCGGTTACAGTAAGAAGGGCGACACATCACACACCACAAGGCAGAGGACGGATTGCAAAGGTGGCAAAGCGGATCCGTATAAAGAAACGCGTGAAAGGTGTGAAAGGGGCGAACGCGGTGACAAACCAGACGCAGAAACGTCCCTGTACTACCCAGAGGGCAACTCCTTCCCGTATGTGACGACCGGCATCCTGCTGGGCATGGTGGGCATTTCGTCCTTCTTCCAATTTTTAATTTACAACTTGAAAAATTGCGACGACGAGTCCAGCATCTTGCTGAGGGTAGACGAGATCCTGGACCGTCTGGATGGCTATTTTATAATTCACGATTTTGAGGGGGGCCCAAGCGAAAGGGGCAGTACAAGCGAAAGGGGAACTACCCGCGCACGTGGCGCCGACCAGCCTGGCCTCTTCAACATCAAATATCTGACGTCCCCATTTTTCGCTAATGAAAATATCCTACAGTGTGCAGTTCAGCTATCCACCTTTTTTTTAGCCTCCAGATTTCTCGAAAGACAATTTGGGTCCCTAAAATTTGGCGCCCTATTTATATGCGGCTCCATACTCTCCAACCTTCTAACTCATCACTTTTTAAAATACCTGACAAACCAAATGGAAGCATTTAACTTCCTCAGCCCTGTTCTAATACACCCTTCTGGGTCCATGGCTTTTATATGTGCCCTGTGCTCCATTTGCTTCAAAAATTGTGCCATCTGGAAAGACATCCCTGTCCACTGCTCCATTTTAATCGTTCCTTATCTTTTTTCTTCCTTTTACGGCCTCTTATCTTTGTACAAAATTGGAAAGAACAGCCTGGAAAAGACTAACGGGGATGTCACTCAGGAAGGAGGCACTCCCAATCAGCGGAACTTACTCCAAAATGTAGACGCTATCGACCATCCCTATGAAGATCCCCCACATGTGGGTATACCAAACGAAACGAGCAGAAGTCATGAGAACGACCGAATTGACCCCCTCCACAGCAATGACAAAGAACAGTCAAATGGCCTGCCCAGTAACAAACCCATCCCAAGTGAAGCCATGGAAACGTTAAGGAACTTCCTAATCGTAAAAGCATGTGATGCAGTTATTAAGAGACACAAAAAGGAAAATATGTTTCCAAAAAAAAAGCTGCAGAACCTTAAAAATGAATCGCTAAGGAAGATCAACGAAATTAATAACAAGTCGAAGAAAATATTTTTTGGTTTGTCTTCTTCCTTTACCGACATATGTGGCATCCTGCTCGCCTCATGCGGGCCTTTCCTTTTAAAAATGGTCAGATAGCTCCTGTTGTGCTTTCCCGCGCCGTGCCAAGGTAAGGTAGGGGTACGCGTGACGTATGCCCCTATCCAAATGGGAGGTTATCAAAATGGGGAGAAGCACACAAGCGCGTTAAACTCGCTCACCCAGGTGCGCCCCCGAATTTGTAAAAGAAGACAGACCCCCTACTCATTGCGCGGTTTTATAATTTAAGGGGAAAAAAACTACCGAGTAGACGTATGTAATTCTTAACACGTGCATTCTGGCTGCATTTTTAGCCGCATCCTAGCTGCATTCTTTTTTTTGTTTTTTTTTTTTTCGAGTGAAGCTAAGAATGCTATACACCCCTCGAAAGAGCTAAACGTTTTTTGGTTGGCCAGCGTTTCAGCCATCTTGAACGAGCGCCCCTTTTTATCTGTTTCTTCCTTCCTCTTTAATCGGAATAGGCTTTTATCCATAAGCCATAGTAAGGGAGGGTGCTCCCTCCACGCAACGCATTCTATGGAAATGCTACATTTAGCAGGACCGGCAGCACCACCGCCAGCGGCAACACCCCGGGATGTCCCTTTTGGAGACTCTCCCAATCTCACCGCTTCGGCACTGTTTTCATTTTTAACGAGGAAAAAGACACCTTCCTCTTCACAGTTATATGGAGCGATGCATTCTTATGTTTTGCAATTTCGTCTGCAGTCATTCTTTTGCTTGAATAATTCAGATGAGCCAAGTCGGCGTCGAGGACCTTTTGCAAAATGCCGCTACTCTTTCGTGGGGGGAACTTCTCCATGGGTTTTTCCAAAATGGGGTAGAACCCCTTTGCGTTGTTTTGTTCCAGGTGTCCCATCGTTCTGGTGAGTGGGTCGCCCTGAAACGGGACGGCCACATCGCCTGGTACCCCAGCACTCGATACCGACTTCTTAATCTGCAGGAAGTCCCCCTTCATTGAATACCCCTTTAAGCTCCTCCCCATGGGATGGGCACCCCATTTCGTGCTGCCATCTACGTTGCCATCTGTGTTGCCATCCACGCTTCCATGCGCACTTCCGTCCGTGCTTCCCTTATCGCCATCTCCCCGTCTTGCCATTTCCCCCTCCTCTTGGCCTACACCTGGAAAGGCTTTCCCTTCCAAGTCTCCAGCTACTTCATCACTATCCTGTTCCCGTTTCGCACCCGAATCGTCGCTGGGCTCCGAACTTTTCTCTTCCTCCGAGGTATCAAATTCACTGCTCCGTTCCTGCCTCTCCGTGTCAGCACTGTGGCTCGATTGCCTTCCTAACTTCATGTTTCTCGTGAAATTAAATGCATTAAATAGGTCAGAGAAATACGTACCGGAGCTCCCCTTGGACGCCTGCAAAGTCAGAAAGGTAATTGTAGGTGCGCTCCTGCGGGTGCACCACACAACGGTCGTCGCAGTCGCGATATGCTCCTCGTGAGAATAGACCGCTTCGTGCCACCATGTGTGCACACGGGAAAAGCGAGGGAACTTTTGGGGCGGACAAACGATTAAGCCATTTTTTTATTTTATTTTTTCTTCCTTCGAGTTACCTTCTTGTGACTCTCCTCCCGCTGTGACAGGCTCGCTTCGATCTCCTCTTCTGAAAAAAAAAAGAAAAAAAAAAGACTTCCGTTAGTGGGGTATTTTCACAAGGGGGAGAAACGCTGCTCCGTTTTGTCCAACATTTGTGGCTTCTTCCCCCCCGCTTCTTCACCTCTCTCCATTTTTCTCCCTTTCGCCTTTCCCAGAACAAGGACTGCACCACTGCACGGCGCCTCGTATGGTGGCGCTCGTATGGTTTCGCCTCGTAGGGTAGCGCCTCACTAAGGGTGCCCAACGACACCCCCACTCATAACTCCCTTATACCTCTGCCACCATCTTCACTCGAAGTAGCGATGACCACCTCGTCTAAGTGCACAATGCTGCCGCTTTTTTTTAAATCCAATGGACTTTCCTTGGAACCTTTTCTCTTTAACAAATCAGAAATATTCTTCCCATTTGGTTCTTTTATTTTTAGAAGGCTTTTTAATCCGCCTCTAAGGGGGGGCGGCATTTTCTTTGGCACATTCTTCACCTTCGAGGGGACCCCCTCCAACCGTCCATTTGAGGTCTTCACTTTTCCATTCTGTACGGACAAACTAGGGCTACCTTCTGAGCCTTCCCCATTAGGTGGATGCTTCAAAATGGGAGTAGTATATGCCCCTAACTTGGGTCCTTTCCCTTTTGGTACAATTTTTCCTTTCTGAGGGGGTGGAACGAGTCTAAGAACTACGCCTGCTTTGGAACTTAGTAGAGTAGTCTCCCCTAAGGGGTTTAATTCATCCGTACCTTCCACCCCAGATCGGTTGTTTCCTTCTTTTAAAATGTGGCGTTCAACGGGGAAGCCACTTCTCTCTTCCGTTGCCTTGGCACTCATCTCGATACCTTTATAATAGCAATTTTGTTTTTGTTGATTTCCCGCTGGTGATCCCCCGTTTGGCACCTTTAACAGAAACTTCTTACCCCTCATGATATTTTTACTCTCCTGTCTTTTGGCTAGCTCCTCTTCATAACTCTTAACTGTATGGATGCCATTCTGTCTAGCATCCCTTGGAGTAACTTTCTGAGTGAATCCCTTTTTAGAAACATCTGTCTGGGCTTCCCTTTTGTTTGAAATTCCCTTCACATGGGTTTCATTGGAGTATTTACTCCTATCCAAGCTGCCAACTGGAGTGGCCTCTTTTTCAGCACAAGGGACGAATACATTATTTCCTTCCTCTTCGTGCCTGTTTTGCGGTGTCAATGTTCTGATGACACCTCTTCCCGTTGAAAAGAGCTTCAAACCTTCCCCTTTCGAAGGGGGAGTTACAGCGGGACGTGGCCCAGGAGTTACTCTCCCCCGTCCTGAATTATCCGAGTAAAGCATTCTCCCTACAAAGTTGCTCTCCTTTTTAATACGGTCAGGAGGGGAGGATCCCAACATTTTTTCACCTTTGTAGACACCTCCTTTAAGGGTTCCCTTCTCCATGCTAGGCACTCCATTTCGGAATGACCCCGTTAGGAAATTCTCCTCTTCTTCAACTTCAGTACGAAGTAATAACAATTTTTTATTTTCTTTCCTCTCCAGGGGATCACTTGCGTACAAATGAGTGATATTCCTATGGGAGTATATCCTCATCGGGCTGCGTGGGAGGCACTTCGCTGAGAGCTCACCCGCCAGATGGGGACCACTCCACACATTCGGCTTACTCAACAAGTGCGAACTTAGCGGTAATGTATTGTCCCGATAAATATCATCATCCTTTAGGATCATTTCAGTTAAAGACGGCTTGCAAACACTTGGGTCCTTCGACGAGATAGCCCTTAATTTCAAACTGAGGGGAATAAATCTCCAGACATTATGCAAATGTATCCATTTCTTATCATCAAATAGTACAGATACGTATTTCAGATCATTGGAGCATTGTTCCCAGAGGTGTTGGTACAGTAACCATGATCGGTTGTTTGTCTTCACACACAACCATTTTAAATCCCTCTTGCATAATTCCCATCTGTCAGCAATGGCTAGCCATCCCTTATCATCCGTTTCGGAAGCTATCCACTCTAGGTCTTCTAACTTGTGAGGAAGGATTTCATCCTTTGTCTCCGCCGCTGCCGAAGCAGCCGCTTCATCCTCGTGGGCTCTCTCTGCAGTACCCTTCTCCACTTGTGTATCTCCTATTTGTGTTAATACTGTATGTATCAATTTTGTGCACCGGTATATTTTTTTATCCCTCTAAAAAGGTATCATCGGGGAATTGGGCACAGGTGTTCATGTGTTGAGGTGTCGGGTGAGTGAATCACATAAAAGGGTGAAAACTCTCGTCAGAGCTTTGGCTTCGCCTTGCAGGGGTGCATAGTCCCACACCACTGCGCACAAGTGAGCATATATAACTACGCCCACACCGCTGCACCTAAGTGAGCACGTGTAGCTACGCATACGCAACTACGCGCCGTTGAGTCTTCCTACCACGGTGATCGAGTTCAGTATGGAATGGATTAACGGGAGGAGGGCCAAGACTGAGGGGAAAAATGAGGAGCCGTCCGCGTGTTCGTTTTCGTGTTCGTTCTCATGTTCGCTCTCATATTCGGCCATATGTAGTATTTTTTCCCCCTGTTTTATCCTCTTTGTGCGTTTCTTACCCGGTGTGCGCACGTCGGAGCAGATGTGCTGTACTATATCACAGATGGCGTTAATGAAGACGTTTATGAGCTGTATGTTCACGTCTGTCCCGTGGAGTTGGCTTCTCTACGAAGAGGGAAAAAAGAAAACGACAGGGTTATTTTATTTTTTTTTTTTTTTAGAAGAGAACCTCTCCATTTGGTAGTAGCAATTGTGTTGTTTTTGTCTAATGACTGCAGTGGTGCATCCCCTTTGGCTGTTTGGCCCTTTCGAAAAGGTACCCATTTTTAGAAGAGCAAAATTGCACTGAACAATCTTTCTTTTTTTTTTTTCCTTTTTCTACCTTTAAATTTCGTATTTGGTTTTTATACGAATACACCGCAATTTCATACTTCTTCACCTTCTCAGTCATGCTGCAAAATAGAGCAAAAAAAAAAGACAATGTGAAACAAAAGATACAGATATAATTTAAACGCACGGGGTGTGCCTTTCTTTATTTTTCATTTTAATTGTACAGTCGCTTATACTCCCTTAGCTCGTTTAACTCCACCAAATGGTCTGCATTGTTTTTAAAAAGGTCCTACAAAAGGGGGGTGAAGGAAAAAAAAAAATAAACAAATAAGTGAACCACTCAGTTTCAGCAAAAGGCGTATATTCATGCTTTCCAATTTTAGCGACCTTTCGTCTTTTTCATTTTAAAAAATATATTCCCCTCTTCGTAAGGAGCGGTAGAAACAAAATTAACCATTCTTACTGGGGTGCACTTATCATTTAACTTCTTTATCGCTGGTGCCAAGGCGGCCGTGTCCCCTCTCGAATGGAGTGCCGATAGAACGATAATTTGAAAACTTGTCCAATTATTTTGCGCAACTGTTGCTGCGTTGCGAGTTGTGTGTGGCTTCAAAAAATGCAGCTTTTTCCGAATGATACAGAAGTGCGAATTTGTCCAAATATGGCAAAGTAGCAGGGGAGTGCCGCTTCAGTAGGAGACGTTTTTAATTAGTGGGGCGCATCCGCGGAACTGTTTTATGCTTTTACTTAGTTATTTAGCAAGTTATTTTATTTATTTTTTTTTTTCATATTTCTCAGCAAAAATATATGAACACGCAAGAATTAAATAGAAGGCAAACCAGCAACGTATGCTGAATTTTGCCTGACTCGTTCAGGTTGTTTTGTAACAATTTGCAACATGTAGAGAGAAATTACATCCATTTATTTCTCTCTTTTGCTGGTTCCCCATTTATGTTGCTTAATTTGGCTGGCTTTTACCTTTTTTTTTTTGTGCACACACTGTTCAGAAAAAAAAAAAAATTCCTACGGCTATCATAAAAAAATGCACAACTTGGGAAATGAATTAAAAAAAACAATTGTGTAACCATTTGTGTCTTTCCAAGTAGAAATGGGCAAATGGGAAAACAAATTAAATGCATACATAAAGACGCACATTCGGCTAATCCATTATATGTTTAATTTCACCAGTTGGGGTGAACATTCTGCGATGGGGTTGAAAAGGGGCGTGTTTTTACGTCGACTTAGTTTGTTACGCTTGGGATGAGGTGACAACGGGTGTGTCGAAATGGAACGAAGTGGATGGAGAAGAAATTGAACGAGGTGTGACAAAACGGGGGGTGAAGAAGTTGTCTTTAAAAATTCCTTGTCGTCACGCCACACCACACAACGCAAAGAAGATTTGTTCTTTTTCTGCTCAAATTTGTTCCCCTTCACTAAAAAAGTTGCACCTCATTTTGTCTTTTCTCCCCTTTGAATATAAAAAGAGTGATTTATTGTAAAATATGAATGGGCCTTGTCCTCCGATCTTATGCTGGATAAGAATTTCTACATTTAATGTGCAGGCCTTCACATTTACACATTGCCTTGTGGTCATGGCATCCTGAACAGACGAATTTACACTTTTTTTCCCGGCAACATAGTGAAGAAATGTAATTCACGTCATATGTTGTGTTCCCTATAAATTAGCCCTGAGCTTCAACAACGTCCTTTTCTTTGTTTTTTTTCTTCATCTCCACATAATTGTGAATTCTCGATATGTTAATTTCTGTGGTTGATATTTGTTCGTGCAGCCATTGAAGCTCTTTGTCCTGGGCAAAAAAAAAAAAAAAAAAAAATTATAAGCGGTGGGGGTGAACAGGTCTGTGCCATGTAAATATTTTGCCACACCCTGAATGGTGAGTTATGAACTTTTTTTTTCTTAGCACAGAGGATCATATTTTGTTTTCGTTATTTTGTTGGGAGAATGAAAAACAAATGGTCACGAAAAAGCGCTTTTCGCATTTTATTTTTCCTATTTTTTTTTTTTTTTTGCATAGTGAGATGGTCTATCTTTCTCACGCATTATATGCACACGTGTGCGTACCATTTCGTCGTACAGATTTACTGCCCGATCCAAGTGGTGATTCAGTAGCTCCACTGCCTCTTTAAAGGGGAATTCAACCATCACGTTTGCCTAATAAGTGCACGGTTAAGCGAGGTTAAGTAGGGTTAAGCAGGGGCGGTACAAGTTGTGTATCTCAAATGGAGAATATCCAAAATGAAGAACGATTCGTGTCGGTGGTGCCTGCGTTTTGGATTACCCCCAGCCAAAGTAAAATGTGATCCGTTTTATCCACAACTCCCCTGGCGTACAGGGACTCCTCCAAGGGAAAATACAGCTCCAAGTTTTTGCTCTCGTTCATTTCCTGTAATGGTGTGATGAGTCCACATGAGTATGTGCGCGTGAACAGTCATATGCACGTGTACCTCTATAGAGGTCGGAAAAATGGGTAAACCATCTGGAAGGGGTACAGGTTGGCCAACTGGAACAGGACGGCAAACACTTCATAAATTGGCACTACATAAATGTTTAGCATGCGCACGGAGGGACGGACGGACGAACCTTTCTTTTGTAAAGGGCGTTTACTACTTTTAGGGCATCTTTTAATTCGGGAATTTTCTTCTCCGTGTTGATCTGTCTAGTTACAAAAGTGTGCTCCATGAATTTGTATTTCCTGAAGGAGACATGGGATGCGAAATTTCCACCATGGGGGGAGTGTTTTAATCACCTTGTTACTATTATGTTTGCCTTTTGCGAGCGAAGGGCTTCCACTTCCATATACAAGCTACAGTGCGGTAACGCATATGTACGTGGTGCCCACACATGGTGGAGGCTTCTTTTTCGCAAAGTGTGAGAGGTGCATTTACAATAGGAGCTCCTTGGCCAGGCGAAGAACCGTTTCCTCATTTTTGTTTTGCAGAAATTCTGTGATGTGTTCCTGCGGAATGGGGGAAAGATGCATCGGCATGGATAGCCACGGATGGGGGCAGATCGGCAGAGGTTAACATGAGGCTAAATCGAACTGTGTGCACCCTGCTTAGAAGTGATGTTTTGGGGCGCTCCTCCACTATGCAAACACTCAAATTGGGATTGCTAAGTGGCCCCCGAAAAAATCGCTTCTAGGCAGCGCTTCTAAATTCTTCCACTTTATTTATATTTTCGCTAACTATGAACTTAGCCCCCGGGATGTTCCGGACGGACCTCGTGTTGTCCGTCAAATCGTCAAATGACATGTTTGTATTTCGAAGGATGGGCGAGGCAAAATGGCAAGCTCTCCTTGACAGCTTTGACTTTGCTACAGCTGGGTTGGCGCCAGGGGGGATACCTTATAGAGGCAGCATGAAATTGCTAGCCACACATGCGGACGTTCATGCATAGGTAACCTATGCGATTATATATATATGTGCTTATACATGCTCATGCGAAAGGCACACTTTGGCGAAGCCACACTTCTGCTCATGTAACTGCTTCCTTCCAAGAAATTGCCACTCCTTCGCGTCATGTTCTGCGCAGGTTCTCATAGTTCTTGCAGTGGAGAAACAAGTGCCATGACTGGGCACACAAACGGAGAGAAAAAAAAAAAAAAAAAAAAAACGCGACGATAATTCCTACCTCCATGCGAGTTTGCTTATTACGGCTGCATATTCCTCCTTGCAGTTCTGTTCAGACGTTTCTGCGTCGGAAGCTGCTCCTCGTCACAGGGGATATATATTGCGCGGGTGCGCGTGCAGGGAAGGAGTGCTTAGCAAGGGCGTTTGTTTGGGTGTCACCTATGTGTTCAGGTTTATATTTCCACTTATGCTTCCGCGTATCCTTTCGCTTATCTTTACACGTATGTTCACACTGATGTTTAATTTTTTTTGCGCAACATGTACCGTCCAGTTAATGTTAAAATGGGTCCACGCTTACAAGACGAAGGAGCTACACGCTACATGCACAATTTCGAAGTGGGCCGGTATAACGCCAAATCTTTAGCCCCTTTCATTTTTGCAAATTTACACGTGCTCTCCCCATGGCTTGGCGAGTGCCGTGCGCTTTGTCACCTTCCAGATGGCCTCCCCATTGGAGTACCACACCATCACGCGGCCACCCGCGTCTGCGCTTTGACTGTCCGATCAGTGTAGGCATTCTGCTGGATATGAACATATGTACTTCTAAACACAAATGGATAATTCTTTTGGAGGGACTTGAATTTCGCCCCTCTAGTACCTTTCACTTTGCCTCTTTTACTCCACAAGAGCAACATGCTATTTTCGGCTCAAAAGACACGCAGTTGTTGGTTTTTTAAAAAGGGCAAATTTTCCGTCTACTTGGTTTGGCGCCCCACATTTGTGTAGGGGCTATTTAAAGGATTGAAAAAAAAAAAAAAATGCTCACATTATGTGTGCAAACTTTTCATCTCTTTTAAACAATTTGGCTTTTGGTGGATGCAGAAGTTTGTCAATTCGTTTTGTATCCGAGGAATGTACGAGATGCGCACGCGGGACAGATACACACGTAGGTTCGCACATTCGCATCGTCGCACGTTCGCATGTTCGTGTTGCGGGCATATATGTATACACGCCACCGCTGTGGCGAAGCAGAAATGCTTAACAGAATTGACACACAGAAAGTATTCGCACCCCCATTTGCAACACCACTAAGGACGTCCTTTTTTTCTGCTTTTTAATGAAAAGTGAGCCGGGGAAGAAAGCACACCTAAATGTGCATTTCATACATCTTTACAAACTGCGCAATTACGAGTATGTCTCATGTTCGTGTCCCTTTTTGGATATAGAAATAATCGTAACTGACGATATTCCTCACTTTTATAAAATTTTCCACAAAAAAAAAAAAAAAACTAGCAAAAATGCTGATATCCATTATTAACGGCAAACAACATTTTCCCACCAACCCCCATTCGAATGCAGTCCCTGTGGCTTATCACTCCACAGCTCGTTTGCATAACCCACAGACCAGTGTTAAACCGTGTGCGGAATTTCAACTCGTGAGGTGTTAACCAAATGTCTCTGCTTGGCTTCGAAACGACCCGAATGTTTCTTATGACCTAAGAAAAGGGGGAAAAAAGGGGAAAGACAATAATGCAGCGATGCCGTATTTATGGCTACCTGGAAAAATCTACCTCCCCTTTAAGCTCTCTTCGTAGAAGGGGGTTAATTTTATGACCGTTTGGTCGCAAAAAAAAAACAACTGCGTGAGGAACGACGGCTTTGGCTGGGTCCACGCAAGGGGAGTGAACTGTGTAGAGTTTTACGCCCGAGCATATATGCACAAATGCTAATTACCGGCGCGCCCTTATAATGTTTAAGAAGAATGTCAATTTTTGTGCCCTTGATGGAGAAGCCCCTAATGAGTCCCTCCTTCTGCAACAACTCAAGTATCTGGACGTTCAGTACGTGGAATGGGCACTTTTGGGTCATGGCATCCGTCCGTAGCAAAGATACTACCATTTCGCATGCCCTCTGCATTGTGCCTTGTTACATATCTTTGGCATAAACGGCTGAGGAGAAATTGGCATCTGCCCTATTTGGGGATGTTCCTCTTGGGGTGCTCCTCATTCAAATGGCTCTTCCATGGGCATGGAGGGGCGTAAATTAAACGTGGGCCTCCACGTAGTAGCATTCGTCAAAATGGAGATGGCGAGGTGAAGGAAAAAAAAATAAAATAGGATAAAATAACACAGTTGGGTAAAATGCTACGCATCTGTATTGTTTAACTAATTTTTTCCTCTACTCCTTTTCAATTAAATCTCTTTGTCGAGAAAAAGGAGCACACTTCGGCCCCGTCCCATTAAAGTTGGCGTGCTTTT